AATCCAAAAACGCCTTCATACCAGTTTTTCCTCAAAATCGATGTAAGATAGTTGCCATTTTTTTTTACAATGACACGCACTCTTAATTAAAGAAGAAAAAATCGTAAAAATTTAGAATCACGCGATATAAATACTTCGAATTTAGTTTAAACCTCAATTGTAAATTATATATATATAAATATATACATACATCTGTAAAAAAAAAGAGAAAAGTGAAAAGAATGAAAAAATCCATGAGTTTTAGGGAAAATTTATTTTCGCACAAAATTTCTCACCCTCCCGCCCTTTTGCCAATTTGCCCCCTACTCTTGTGCAGCCGATGTGATGCATTTCGAGGGGTTTTTATTATTTAAATTATTAGAAGATAATAACTGAAGTGATTGAATTAGAAGGGATGTGGTGAAGGGTAATGGGTTGATTTTTTTGGGTTCTGTTAAACGTGACGTTATCTCAATAATAAGTCATATTTTGGGAAAGAAGTGTCAAAAGACATTTTTTGATCAACCCAGTAGTTTCTGAAATAGTCATGAAATAACGTTAAAATCCATTCATTACGTTTTACCACTTCCGCGTAAACTAAATCTTTGCAGTGATCTTTTTCTGCTTAAACAGAATCATAAATCTTTCGTTCTTCGAAATAAACCTGAGACATTACTTTTCAATTAATCATGACGTTCATTATTGCACTCAGTGGAGAGGAATAATAATCCTCACAATGTAGAGATAGTCGTTATCCGATGGCGATCCAAAAATTATGGGAATTGAGAACTTGTTGTAAGAAAAAAATTTGTCGCGAAATAATTGCATCGTCATTTGTACAATTGTAATATTTCATCAACATAAATTTTGAATACGAATAAAACAACTAGCACGAATATTTGCGATTGCAGGCCAAGGAATAAAAAATTCCATCATGGATTAAAGAATAAATAAAAAATAGTTCTGAAAAATAGAAAAGACAAAATTACGTAAATGAGTTGAATTTTTTTTTTATGTAAAATATTGTATATATTAAAATCATCATTTAAAATGAAGTGAAATTGAAATATTTTTCGGGATTGATTCTATTCTTCATCGGTTATTAATTTTTTTATTAATAAGAGAAAAAGAAAATATAGCGAAATTGAGAAATTAGCAGAAGTGGTAAAATGTAACAGAACGAGAGGATTTTTGGCTTTCTCGAAAATGAGTGATCTTATGAGGGAATATGAGAAGGCCTCTTTTTTCACATGTTCAATTCAGAACACACAGAAATTTTGGTGACATAATCTCAGAAACTCACTCAGATCCTAGAACATGGATTGATTAACAATGATGTTCTATCTAATTCGAGATAAATAATTATTAATTATTCAAATATCTCGGTTATTATCAATTGTGCATGAGACTGACAAGCGAAATTCAACTTCCCACAAAAAAGCTATTCTGATCTAATTGCATGAAACAAGAAGAAATTACAAAATTCTTCCATTACATTTTACCACAAAAAAAATCACTGTGAAGATTAAACTGAAATTAAAAACCAAAATGAATGCAAAAATCCAAACATTCCAGCCAACATCTCTACCAATAAATATCTAAACAAAATAGAAAACAGAAAAATGGACATTTTAGTGAACAAAAACAAAAATTCGGAAAATAATGAATCGTAATAAATGGAAAAGATGAGAATGCTACGAAATCGTAATAGTTCCTTTATCTTTGTCAAGAGTCGTGCGTTTATCATCTGTAAATTTTTGACAATTAACGAATCATTTGCAATTACCTAAAATAACGGAATAAAGCCAACAAAGTAATGAGAGATATGGTATTACTTGTTATCGAAGTTTGTGACAAAATAATAAAGAAAAGGAGTGAGAAAAATGAGTGGGAAAAGTAAGAAATAGTATCTCATGTCATTTATATATAAAAAATAATCCACTTGTAGATGTATAATTAATTAATTATTTGTTTTATTAATTAATCTATTAATTATTGGTACCAATTGATAAATATTTCGTGTAATAATTTTTCTTTTCTTTCACCTTTCGTAAAAATGCTCTGCCTTTTCAATTTCCAATTTCTTTCTTTTTTTTTTTGCATAAAAATATTGATTCAATCTTTGTAAACAATAAGACATCTTATATATGCATTATAAATAATTATCTCAGCTGTTTCTCCGACATTCAATAGGAGAATAGGTGTGGGAAAAATTCGCATGTAACAATTTATAAATATTGTGTAGAATTTTGGAAAAAAAATCATCTCTCTCGTCTCCCGCCCCTGAACAATCTCATGAACTTTTTCCATCTAGTGTCCATCATTTTTAGCTTTACATCCATAAATATCTAATCGATCTGACATTTATCTACTTAACGAATATATTAAAAAGTAAAAAGACAATTTTACCTTTAGGTAATGAGTAAATTCAACTGTAATTCAATTGTAAACGATGATATATTTCGAAATCCTTTTCAGTATAAATAATGTAAATTTTTTCTATAGAAACTCGACTGCTCAGTTGTCACTACTTTTATGCATGATACTAAAATTTATCAGAAAGAGAGAAAGAAAGAAGACATGAGAGACATTTTAGGAATCTAGAGGAATTCTTCATTTGATTTTTGTTTATAAAAATTTGAAAAAAATTGTTCATTTCTAGTTTAACGCATTTTTGGTTAACTAGCGGGTCTATCTGGGAGTTGCTTTGGTCATTCTACCCCCCACGACATTACACAAAAAAATATAGGACACATAGAAAGAAGTTGAAAGAGAGAATAGAACTTTTAAGTGATGAAATAGTAAAATCAGGAGAGACCGATTGATATGTGCAATTAATTTTACGAATATCTTGAAATCTAGCGGGTTTACCGCCAAATGGCAAACGCCAAAACGCCGTGTCGGGAATTCAATTTTCTAAAAAAAAAAAAAAAAATCGGTCATTTTTTGCTGATTTCAAGAGATTTTCAGATTTTTTCAAAGTAATCTGAAATCGATAACAATTCATCAAAAAATGGATAGAATATTTTGTGAATATCTCAATGAATACAAAGTTGAGAGAAACATGTGAGAATGATGTTTTCGTAGAGAATGAAATTTTCTATTGGAAAAAAATTATCATGACATTTTTTTCTGAGTGACGTAATTTCGGGGATATTCGCAATATGATCGGAAAATTCGTGTTTCCTGTCCTACACCATTTCTCTCCTGATTTAAACTAAGTAAAAGGTTTTCATATTCTCTGATATATGAATATATATCTGTATCTGAAACAGTGGAGAATCAATGGTTATCTTTCTCTTTTCTCTTCAGCCAGCACATATATCCATATATCATACTTGAATATTCACGATCTAATAGAGCCCAATAAAAATCATTTAAAAACACTTAAACGCATTAAACTATAATTACAAACTTGAAAATATCCATCGATTATTGACGATGATGATTATTATTGTAATAAGTAATATTTAAATATTGTAACAATTGTATATGATTTTATTACTAACTAATACACGCTAATTGTATTATATATATATGGAAAGAAAAATGATAAAAAAAATTATGTGAAAAAAAAAAGATCTGCGTACCTCCCACTTTATAGTTACACTTCAAACAAAAAATTATTAATTATAATAATCAACTGATTACACGATAAAAAAATTCGAAAAATTTTCATAAAAAATGATGAATCAAAAATCGTGTAAAATCATGTCAACCTCCCCTTCCCCCTTTGTGTTAACTGCCATGGCGCTGGCAATTGATTACGAGTTAATTTTCTGTTTTACGTTGCCGATTGATTGATAATACGATTGCAAAAGCTAATAATTAATCTCAAATTAATGAGATGTATTGTTATTGGGAACTGGTGCGCCCCTGATGTTTAAGACTGATGTACAGTAGCGCGCTATTCTCACATTCACCCCCACCCATCCACCCACTTCATTAATTTTTCATAACAAAGTGACAAATGATTGAAGTTAATCATGAGAAAAGTTGTCTTGATTTTTTTTTATAAGAAGAGGGAAGATGCATCAATGATACCAAAAATTTGTGGACACATTTGAAGAATTTCAGCGTGTATATATCAGTATCGACTTTTTGCTTCCGGAGAAAAGCCTTATTTCATTTGCAGTGAAAGGAATTTTACGGTTTGAGTTTTGCAGAGGCAAATATGTGGTGAAACGTACTAAATTGGGTTTCATCAGGGTTTGTTTTTGAAAAGAGTGGTTTTAGAAGAGAACGTAGGGACAGCATTTTTGTGGGAAATTTAATTTCTGTAACAAAATTTTTTCCTGGCTGTTGATTTATATGGCCCTTGATTTTTTCCCTAAAATCACTTTTGCTCGATACAAATCTTCAACTGATGAACAAAATGAAATTAATCGACTCAATACGACATCTTTATTAATGATGAGTTACAGAGATGCCTCAGAAATAATTGATTTTAAGTGAAAATGTTTTGAAGACTGTTTTTTTTTCTTGTACAGAATGGAATTCTCTACAAAAAATGTCTCCTGACAGTTTTGCTGAAAATTACTCATTTTGAAGATGGCTATATTCATTAAGATGTGGCAAATTACCTCGGGTTTTCCACGTTTCACCGCTTCACAATCGAATCTCTCA